TCCGAGCTTGAAGCTTACACTTCTTGACATAACAGACAAAGTGCTATTGGCTTTTTAATTTTGTACAGGTTGGTAGACCTGTCATACCAGATTATTGAGGCGTCCAGCCATGTCGAGCACATTCTCAGGTCAGCCTGATACCTCGAGACCAGCGACCTCAAGACCGCAGGTCTCGGACGAGGCTGGGCCAATACCAGAAACATCTTCAGAGAACACAATCGTTGAGGCAACCTTCATTCCCAATGTTTTTGATCTCGTCTACATGGGGAGACGAGCAAAGCTCTCTGTCGTACGACCCGCCATGCAGCTGTACTTGGGTGCACAAGCTGTTGACCAGTCCAAATTCCTGGGTCAAGGTGCATCCTTTGAGGTATACAGCAAGAAAGTGCCCCGATCGGAAGGCTTTGTCTTTGAAACACGCATTTTTGGGACGGTTTTTGGCACTAAGCAGGGCCAGCATGACGAGAGGACGCTTGTGTACAAGACAGCGAGGATTGCATTCAGCAACTTGGGCGAGCCACTCGCTAAGGATCGCAGAGCCATGAACTCGGTCATGATGGAGATCTATGCACTCATGCACCCACCTCTTTATGAGCACGCGAATATTGTGACGTTGCTTGCACTCGGTTGGGGCACCAATCCTTTTGAATCCTCCTATCGACTCCCAGTCATTGTCACAGAGCATGCTGACCAAGGCAATCTGGCTGACCTCCAGGCTAGAGAGATCCTCACATCCGAAGTGAAACGTACCATCAGCCTTGATATTGCTTATGGCCTACAAGTTCTTCATCGTTGTGGCATTATTCATGGCGACATGAAATCCGAGAATGTTCTCATCTTCTCTCATCCACAAAAGACGTACGTGGCGAAGCTTGGTGATTTTGGCTTCTCGATTGTGGGCGAGGCCTCAGCTCCTCGTGTTAATATTGGTGGAACAATGCCGTGGCGAGCGCCGGAGTCATATGGACCAGTTGCGCGTGAGTATCTCGCAAAGACTGACGTCTACTCGTACGGACTCACTGTTTGGCGTATTGCCATGGATGGAAGCAATCCATTCTCAGTGCTCCATGGATCTGGATCTACAGCCTCGGGGGTCACATTAGCCGCCTTTACTAGTCAACTCAGAGACGATGACCTCGTGAAGGATCAAGCACAGCTCAATCATTGGTATCAACCGTTCATCCTACATGCCATGGACAAGCTTCGTGGCGACGCCTTACCTCCCACGGATCAGGTGGTGCAACTTTTTCAGAAAGCCCAGGCGGCTTTACAGACAGGAACCATGAATATAAGCCAAAGAACAGAGTTTCTGAAGTACGTGTTCTGGCTGGTCCATCGCCTTGGGATGTCTAGTCAATCATTGTTCGGCAATATCGGCGAGCACCTTATGGCTGCGGCGTTATTGGACGGGTTTTATGGCAAGTTGAATACGGTTTTGGCAGGATGTTTATCGAAAGTTCCCGAAGAGCGAGATCTGTCTGTTGCCATATCCACCTTGTCCAACTCCAATGGGGGGCAAGATAACACGGTAGAGCTAAGCGAAGACATGCTCCTACGCCAAAGCTTCGACCATCATATCATGTCTTGGCAAGCAGTGCAAGACCTCCAGCCATCCGTGCAAACCTTCTTATTTGAGCGCTTCCGTGCCCGAGCTGATGAACTTGCGTCTCGCAATCAAGTCAACACTCCTGAGTGCTTTGTGCTTGCGTCCTTTTATATGAACGGCCTCGGCACTCAACCGAACTTACAGGAAGCATGGCGGCTAGTACTACATGCTGCTGCAAATGGACATCAAGTTGCACAGGCTAATGCATGGCGAATTGCTAGAGTGACTGGGACAGAACTAGCGACAATCATTTCTCCGGAGCAAATCCTCGAGCGGCAGGCTTTCAATGGTTCACGTGGCGCGCTACAAGATCTGGCTATCATCGCACCAGAAAGGGCGGTAGAGGCGAAGAGAATCATCAAGGCCGGTCTCGCAGGAGTGGGTGCTTCCTTCTGGGGCAATGATCTGCTGCACGGCTACACCCACGGTCACTGGATCACCTCCTTTCGTAATACGACTTTCCTGGTCGAAAACATAAGAAATCTCCCCGAGATCGCTGATTACAAGGTTAACAGACGAGGCGATCGAATCTTGCACATGGCAGCAAGCTGTGGCCAACTTCGAGCAGCTGAGGCTTTGTTGGACAGTTTTCCCTCTCTGACTGTGGACCAATTGAATGATGTTGGCGAGACTCCGCTTCTTTCTGCATGTCGATCTGGCCATCGAGATATTGTTGAATCACTCCTTAGTCGTGGAGCAGACCCGACAATCGCTACAAGCTCGAAGGAGTCACCACTTCATTGGCTCATTTCCTTCAATAAGGACGAAGTACATGCTGTTGGACAAGCTTTGATATCGGCAGGTGCCGACGTGAAGTCTCTCACCACGAAACAGATCAACTACAGCGCATTCCCATCCGGTATCGACTTTGATAACCTGCCACCAGGAACACCATTGACCTGGGCTGTACATCACGACCGGCCGGACATCATGAGGTTTCTTCTCAGCCAACCTGAATCCGCACGCCTGTGCGTGATTAACGCACCCAATGATCCAACTCCACTTGAGTGGGCAGCAAAATATCATCATCGTGATTGTCTCGAAGCAATGATTGTTGCCATGAAAGCACAAAGGGTTAACTTCACGTATCAAGAATTTCTCAAGGCTGCAGTGCACGGTGCAGATATGTTCTCGATGATCTTCCGAAGTGGAGTTCAATATTTGGAAAGAATGAAGGATACGTTGGACTACCTGCTGGAAGAAACTCATGGTGCATCGTTTGGAACTGGATTAGGCGGATTCGGTTATACGTTACTCTACTACGCGATATCTGAAGGCCGCGACCTGGTCGTTAAGTACCTGCTGGCGCCAGAGACTGAAGCACTTCTTCGCGCAGGCAGAGAGCGACTAAGAGCCGTGGTCAATGATGAAGAAGACATGCCTATGCCACGATATGGTGTTTTCTCCGAGGAACATATCAACAATCCTTGTGGCGTTGAGCTGCGAACACCTCTGCTTGAGTGCATACGATGGAATCACCATGAGATTTTCGATTTGCTCATTACCCGAGGTGCAGATATACATGCCAAAAGTCGCAATCCATTTGATGGAAGCAAGACTGATTGGAGCGCGCTGCATGCCTTTGCGTACGCTGGTCATGATTCGGACCTCACCTTAGTCCGAAAGATCGTCGAGGCTGGTGTCGAGGTAGATGTCCAATTCAATGAGTCTGCTGATCTTGAAACACCGCTCTTGGTAGCATTGAAGAACAATGCGTTGAATCTAGCACAAGAATTGTTGTTGAGGGGCGCCAATGTAAATGCTGTATGTATCTCATCAGGCTTCATCACTCTCGAACAATCGACTACCGTCCTCGGACATCTCGTCGCGTCTGCGGCACGTGGATCTATAGCTCGAATGCAACTCCTTTTCAACCAACCTCAAGCTGCTCAAGACCGCGCTACTATGTTCGTAGTCGAGCCACAGCGTCAACTTACAGCCTTTCACCTTGCCGCCAGAGCACACAAAGGCGTCTTCGATCGCATTCCGGATGGTGAATCCTCTGCTGTCGCATACCAACGTACTCAGTACGACTTTACTCAGAACAGGGATATTCTAAATGAGCTGCTGCAGCATTTCGGCTCATCCGATGAACTCATCAATGCACGGACTGGCGAGGCTCTCTTCCGTCGTACCCCACTACATTTCGCTGTTGATGCCATAAATCTCAGTGCCGTCGAATTACTGCTCGACCGTGATTCCATTGATATCAACGCACAGGATAGTAATGGCCAAGCAGCTCTGGATCTCGCATATTTGGCAGCACTACACCAGAGTACTCAATGCGATGGTTCTTGTCAACGAAGTCCTCTACCCGGCAGAAGATGGCATTGTACAACATGTCCCGACCACGACTTGTGTGAGACATGTTATCGGGCTCTTCAGGATGGACAGGGCTCGAAAGAGATTCACGCTTTCGAAGAGATGACGTTGAAGCAGACGAATGATGCAGCGAAGAAGGATTGGCGGGTGCACATTCCTACCGAGCAACTGGAGCTTGCAAGTATCATAGAGCTGCTACAGGCAAGGTTGGTGCGAGATCAACAAGTGTTGGGTGCTACGAATGCGCTGCAGGAGATGCGTGTCTGAAGGTGTTGTTCGTGCTCGTGCTCGTCTGTATATCCCCAGAGACAGCTTATAACCACTAGCTAATTTTCATTAATTTCAATATTTGAAATATAAACATTCTAGTAAGTAAAATGTAGCTTGATATTTCGGGTGGGTTCACCCAAAATATACGTAAATTTAATTATATCAGACTCTGTTATATTATTAAGTTAAGTATCAAACTATTATTAGTATCATAACTCTAGGATATACAGAAGTCTGAGAACTTTAGGCTCAAGAAGTAGCCATTTATATTTACATGTAGTTGTAACAAACTTTTATATAGAGATTACTCGATAAACTAGAGTCGAGATATTCTTTTCCTTACCTAGTTATTACGACGTGCCTTCGGTGGTCACGTGGAAGTGTTTCTATTGCGAGCGACAAGAAGCAGATTCAGATCAAAGCAATTATGACTAAGTAATATAGTTACTATTTGAGTTGAGTACGAAGCTTCTTTGTATACTAAGGAGCCCTAAGTTGGAACTTGAAGCGGTGGGATGATTTGATTGGTTTTTTTTATTTTTTATTTTGGTGGTGTGATGTTCTGGAATTATGGATTTTAGGGGTATGTTGTTATTCTAGCTATCATTCATTCCTTTTCTTTCTGTTGTCTTCTTGTTGGTATATGTAGGCACTAAGGTAGGTATCGTACGTAGGTGCTAAGCGAGGATGAGCACCAAATGTTTGTTGTAATTTTAGGTTCTGACTAGGAGTTGGATTTGAAAAGTTATTGGGAACAAAATGTTTCTGGTGTTGGATAAAGTCCCCTAGAGTGTGAAAAACAAGGATTTCTTTTGGCTGGAACTTTTGGAAATTTTGTTTATTTTAGCTTTAGGTTACTTGAGGTGTAGCTGGCTAGTCTCTAACACAAATAGCTACACATCTCCCCTCATTTCACCATCCCGTCTTCTCAACCCAAAAGCAAAAATATCCCATTCCTCCAACCAAGAATGTCCGAATCTAAGACTCCAGCCGAAGTTTCCGTAATACAGCAATCACCCTCCACAGAAACAAACACACAGTCTATCCAAATCGAAATTGAACAGCAAACTGAATATGTCTTCAATCGTGACTACAGATTCTGGTGCATCATCATTGCTCTCTGCACGATGCAAATCCTGTGTTCGCTTGAAAATACCGTTGTGGTGACTTCGCTCCCGACGATTGTGAAGCATTTGGATTTGGGGAGTAGTTATATCTGGGTTACTAATATATTTTTCCTTACTGGGTAAGATATTTTCGCACTTGAAGCTTACCTATCGAGCTCATGATACTCATCCCCATCCATCCATCCCAATTCCTCCACTAAAAGCCCCCAGTGCAGTAACCCAGCCTCTAACCGGTCAACTAGCCGGTCTCTTTGGCAGAAGACACATCGCGCTCCTCTTCGTCGCGTTGTATACACTCGGTAGCGGCATCTGCGGGGGTGCGAACACCCCCGCAATGTTGATCGCTGATCGTGCAATACAAGACGCGGGAAGTGGAGGCATGACTGCAATTATGGGGATTGTGATTTCAGATTTGGTGCCGCTGCGTTGGAGGAGTGCGTATCAGGCAATTTTGGCGGTGACGTATGCGTTTGGGATGGCGATTGGTCCGGTTGTTGTTGGGGGGGGGCAATTGTGCAGAGGACGGAGTGGAGATGGGTATGTGATGTATTGGGTTTGTGGATGCATTGTTTCTGACTAATTGGGGAATCTTGGGTGTTTTATATCAATCTTCCTATTTGTGCGGTTTCGTTTGCTCTCTTGTGGTGGTTTCTGAGGGTTAAGTGGAATAGGGAATTGGATTTGTGGGATAGACTTAGACGGATTGATGTACTGGGTAATTGTCTTTTGGTGGCATCAACAGTATCGGTACTTATTGCGTTGACTTGGGCTGGGTCTTTGTACGCCTGGTCATCTTTTAGGGTTGTTGTCCCGCTTGTCCTTGGGCTTGTTGGACTTGTGGGATTCTTTTTGGTGGAAAGCTCTGGGTGGGTAGTAGAACCTGTAATGTATGTCCCTTTTACTCTTTATTTTTCCAAACTCGCTCCAACATTTTGCTTCTTTTAAATTTATCAATAATTATGAATAATGTTTTGTTTCACTCATTATCAAACAGAGACGCTTTATATTTTCACCGTCTATCTAAAATCCTTTCTAAAGACCCGTAACACTAACTGACTATTAAAATCCACAGGCCCCGTCGCCTCTTCTCTAACCGAACTTCAATAATAATCTACATCAACACCTTCATAATCTCCATACTCAACTACTGGATATTCTTCTTCCTCCCCCTCTACTTCCAAGCCGTCCGCCTCTCAAGCCCCACTTGCTCTGGCGTTCAAATCCTCCCCATAACCCTCATCGCCATCCCCGGCGCCGCAATCGGTGCACTCGCTCTCTCCAAATGGGGAAAATACAAGCATCTCCACATCATTGGTTTTGCGCTTCTCGCAGCCGGAATCGGTTCTTTCTCCACCCTAACCAAATCTTCAAGCACAGCACAATGGATGTGTCTCCAAATCCTCCCATCAGTGGGTGCAGGTATGATTCTCGATACTCTTCTCCCGGCCGTCCAAGCCGGCGTCGCAGAAGTCGATTCCGCTGCCGTCACGGAAAGTTGGTCATTCGTGCGCAGTTTTGGGAATATTTGGGGCGTGACAATTCCAAGCGCCGTTCTTAATATATATAGTACTCGTTATACCGACGGGATTATTACTGATCCCACAGCGAGATTAGCGCTGCAAAATGGGAATGTGTATTCGAGTGCGACGCGCGAGTTCATAGAGTCGTTTTCTGAGCCGACGAAGAGTCAGATTATTAGGGTTTTTAAAAAGGCGCGGAGTAAAGTTTTCTTGGTTGGAATGGTATTTCCGATTTTGGCGTTTCTTTTGTCGTTTTGGGAGAGGGAGGTGAAGTTGAGGAAGGTTTTGGAGACGGAGTTTGGACTTGAGGAGAGGGTGGAGGGGAGACAGGATGGGAAGTAAATCTCTATAGACTTTGTTCCAAAGGGTATTAGAGATGGAAGGAATATGGGATAGGTTATTGGGGTAGTATTGAAAGATTTCAAATTCGATAACTTAAGGTCGTGATTTTCATACGTAAAACTTTAGAATATAATCGTTTCTGTTTCTCTTAAAGTTAAGAATATCTCCCAACTCAGTACCAAAAATCTGTTTTCCACTTCACTAACATTTTTATATTCTAATTTTTCTGGAGCAGCTTCGTTGACCATATGGTAATTCTTTGTTATACACCCAGTAAAGTGGTGATCTCAAGTTTCATTCATACTCATACAGGGACTTAACATTGTGTCACTGATCCACTCGTTTTATTCTTTTGAGGACTTCTCTACATACCCTCGACTAGGAGTTGAAAATTATTGGAGTTTCAAGAGGTCACCATTAATCCGTATAGAGTTGTATATACTGACATATGCTCGCCATCTTTGAATATTTGGAGGGCCGGTAGTACCATTGAACAAGAGAGAGACGGGATTATTAATCTGATTCTCTGTAACGACCGTACCATAATTTACCAAATAACTTTTCATTCACTGCGTGCAGTCTTCAAAAATTCCCAAGAATAGATCGTAGCCTCCAACCCACAACCCCATCATTCCAACCACCAAACTCACACCCCCTCCTCCCGCACAAACCCGGCCCCCATCTCTGCAACCGCATAAACCACCGCCTGCGGATTCGCCGTCGGCTCCACAGGAATCACACTCGCATCACACACGCGCAAATTTCTACACCCATAAACCCTCAACCGACTATCCACCACTCCCCCCATCTCCCTCGACATCATCGCGCAAGTCCCTGTATAATGATACGCGCCATCTACCGTCCGACTTACATATTCCTTTGCGATTTCCAGATCTGCAAAGCGTTTAGAAAAGGGTTTTAAATACCGTGTGAGAGGCTCCGCGCGACTAATGATGTCTTCTGTGAAACGTAGTTGGCGGGAAAGAATCTCGATATCGAGGGGGTGGGTAAGATAGCGGGAGTTGATGGCGACCCCTGTATTGGTGCCGGTGTGTTCGGGTAGGGAACTGGTGATGTGGACGCTGCCCCGGGAGAGAGGATGCGAGAGCTCGATCGCGATGGAGATGTGTTTCCCGGGAGCACGGTAGCTTGGGTTGGGTGCATCGAAGGGGGCATAGCCTGAGCCGAAAACGTAGTTTCCTAGTGCTTCTGAGGGATTTGTGATAATGGAGCGTACGAAGTTCTCGTGTGCGGCGGCGAAAGCGGGTGTAGTTGGAGAAGATTGAAAAGCATCTGAATTAGATTTTGACGCAGCTAATAATTGATCGAGTTCTTTGCGTCCGGCTTCGGTGTGGAACTCAGGTAATGGAAGTTGAGCCATAGTTGTGATATTACTAGTACTCAAATAGCCCGTCCCATTGGTAGCATATTCCTGCATAGTAGCAGCAATAGCATCGGGCTCCTGCCGGAAAAAAGCATCGATCGTTTTCAACGTCGTCGCGCGCTTCAAATGTAAGTCCTGTGAAAAGATGATTTTGGAGATTCTCGCCGACGTGTGGATTGTCAACTACAACATCGATTCCCAAGCGCTGAAGCAAATCCGCGTCGCCTATCCCAGACAGCTCAAGAATTCGAGGTGAATTGATGGCGCCGGCACAGATTATGACTTCTTTGCGAGCTTTGACAATTTGGGACGAGCCATCTTTAGAGATGAATTCTACCCCTGTAGCGATAGCATCACTGGCCGATGAAGATTTTTCAAATAACACTTTAGTTACATTCGTGTTGGTCTGAATAGTCAAGTTTGATCGACTTCGAATTGGATCCAAATATGCATTACCAGCATAGCTTCTCTGTTTTGTTTTAGGATCGATGCTCTCAGGAGCGATATTTGGTCCGCCAAGATGACCAGAAAGGGGATCAGTTCTTGGGAATCCCAAGGATTCTAGACCTTCAATCCAAGCTTTCTGCCAAAGAGTCTCGGGCGAAGCTAGGGTAATCTGGAGTGGACCATTGCCTTCAGTCACACCGGAGGTCTTATGCAGAGTATATGATTTCTTCAAAACCTTCTCGTACGCGGCATAATCCCATCCCTCGTTACCCAGATTTTTCCATTCCTCTATTGTCGCCTTGGATGTAGAGGTGAAGAGGAAGCTATTTATCGCACTTGAGCCTCCAAGAGCTTTTCCCTGCGGAACTATAATATCCCTAGGAACTTCTTTCTGAGGAACCATTTGAAATGTCCAATTTTCTGGAGAATGCGACAGCAATGGCCAAGCACCCGGAGTAAGAGTATTTTGATCTGCGCTGCGGTCTTCACCACTTTCCAGAACAACGATCTGTAGATTCGGATTTTCGGAAAGACGATTGGCTAGAACCAGACCTGAAGTACCACCGCCAATAATGATGATATCGTAGGTTTCTGTAGACATTTTGATAGAAGACAAGACTTGTACTTGACAAATGATTTAGAGAACAAAACTTCACAGTTTAAAAACTTATGAATGAAAGGAATGAGAAGAGGCAGAAACATACTCGGGGGGAATTAATAACACAAAGAAGGTAACACAAACCAACATTTCTAGGTATCCCAAGCACAAACCAAAATCAGAATCCGAGTCAAACCAAAATCGATACCAACACCAACCGCATCGAAACTAACACGAAATAACACCAACCCCGCCAGATATTACAAAACCCACCGAATCGGCAACTATATCCCGATACTCCTGATTGCATTCCATTCCATTCTATTCTCCCCCCGCAGTACCAAGCTTACACCAGTTAAATGCCAATAACCACGTATTCCTCAACTCAAACTATCACTCCATGATATCTCTACAATAAACCAAATAGACAGTTTACAACTCGAGAAACCATTCGATGCCATCCAGGTATTGAGAACATATACACGGAAGATATCTATATTCCAAGGCCTCTAAGTATGCATGTAAATGGTTGAGGAAAGTTCCGGAAATGTAAAGAGATGTATTGGGTAAGGATAGTATGTATTGTTCAAGCATTGCTAAGGCTCAGAACTCTGTGCTACTTAGCAACTTATATCTCTAAGTAGAAGAGTGTCTCAGTTATGCTTTGTACACCTAGGTACATAAGTCCGAAGATTCAACTAAGAATTTTCCAAAAATTTTACTTGATACTGTGGAATGTGACAAACTATCCATTTTTTGAACGAAGAAAAAGAGCCTCAACATGAAAACTTTAAAACTTTTAAGTCTTCCGTATTATTTCTGCATTATACAATGCTAGCTATACCTCGAATGTAATAAACCCCAAACCAAGCCAATCAGCCAGCTCGGTTATACTATACTCTAATATCTCATGACAATTCATCCCATAACCCAAGCGCATTAGCCATCCATAACAACTTTCCATTCCCGTTTCATTCCCAGATGCACAATTTCATCTCTCATTTTCGAGCAAATCACATCCAGTGACCAACCACATCCATATGTTTAGGTACATATCCCTTTCCATTACGACTTCCCGCCAATCTCCTAGCCACCTCATTCGCCTCAAACAAACTGACCAATCTTCTCTTTCCAGTAAACTCTCTCTTTGTCTTACCCTCAACATTTTCATCTTTATCATCATCATCAAACTTTCTCTTCAACTCTCCCTGAACCCTCAAACATTCCTCCCAGATCATAGAATGTGTTTGATAAGATGGGGCTGCATCGTGTTTCTGCTTCGCGCGATACGTACTCAGCGTATCGGTCTGGAAATCCATCGGATGATATTGCCAATACTCGTGAACGGAGGGAGGGTTAGAGATGAAGTTAGAGATATAGTTATCATGAGACATTTCGAGTGGTGTACGACCAGTTGCTGATTCACGATATAGGAGAGTGGGTTTTTGGCGGAGAAGGAAGGACGTTAGGTTTGGTCTATTGTTTTGATTGCCTGGATTGGTGTCAGTATTTCGATTTTAATTTGGATGGATAAGAGTAACATACAACGTGTAACGGCAAATCTCCTTCTCCGTTAATCATCTCTAGCTCCTCGCAATTGGAATACTTGAGAAGTACTTCTATGACATCGGCGCTATCATAGTGTGTGGCCTTGCTCATCCATAAAGCTAGAGGCGTAACTGCGCTCGGATAGTCATCCGATCTCTCAAGTAACATTTCTTGAACATCCTTCTTGTTGAATAGTTTGATGATAGATTCTAAGCAAGCGACTGTCTCTTTCTTTACGGTTATAGCATCAGCGGCAAGAGTATGCATGATATTTCGGTTCTGTCTATCACGAGAGCGGGGCGATGCGCCAACTGAAAGAAGGTACTCAATAATTGGAATATTTTTTCTGTTGACAGCGAGATGTAGAGGTGAATAACCCTGAGCAGATTTCAATGAAAGAACCGAATCAGGAAGAACGGAAACAAGATGCTTGATGAGATTGAGGTGTTTGATTTTGTCTTCGTCTGTTTGCGGGTCGTGAAGAATGGCGACGTGGAGTAGAAGCTCGCCTATTGAATATTGTTAGCATACTCATGAGCTCTTAAAGAAATCACATCACTTACTATTGATCTCTAACCATTTTGAAATAGTATTTTCAAATCCTGCCCCTGATTCCAACGTTCGAATTCGGAGATCATCCTTGTTTCTCTCAGCGAATTCTTTGTAATGTCTCATTGGAGCATCACTCATGAACCACTCGACGGATTCAATGTTGCCCATTTGTGCAGCTTCAAGCAAAGGTGGGAATCGTCCCTCAAAATGATCAAAATCCTGGATATGAGTAGGAGGTCGTGCCCAATCCTTTCGTTTCTTGCCACCAATCGACAAACCTTCATAATATCTTGGCTTTGTCTTAATCTCCACACCACTAGACGAGACTAGCATTCCAAATGGAACACCAGAGCCACAGTATTTGATCATTTCAGCTATCATTGTGGTTCTACCTTTAGAAAGAGCTTTGTTGAAAACTGAGGTATCCAGACTATAGCATCGTCGATCGTCCTCATGCTTAGCCATCAAAGCTTTTTGCTCGCCTGCAATGTCCAGAAGGAATTTGAACATTTTCATGTCGTCCTGCTCGACAGCATAATCAAACAGACTTGACATACCGATTGAACTGGAGCTTCCATCATCACTAGTTGATCGACGCGCCGGACACTTCCATTCAATCATACTCAAAGGAAGTGTATCACCTTTTACGACGTTTGAAACCTCCTCAAGAGCATTAATCGTGAACTTTTCAGTAACCAGTTCAGAAAAGATAGGCAGATCTCCTGACTCATCATCATCATCATCATCATCATCAGAAGTCATAATACCCCAACGTTGACGTCCTTTCTTATCATCCTCATCATCTGCATTATGATATTGAGCAAGGCATATTTCCACAATCCTACGTGCAAGGTCATAATGACCGCGTAGAACAGCGATAGAGAAAGGCGTAAACTCATTTCCATCACGAACCGCAATCCTAAGAGGCGGATATTCAACGTTGTCATGCTTCCAAGGTTGGAGTGTCAAATTCTTGATGGCTTCAAGATCATTATTCCAAGCAGCTTCAAACAACATAAAATAGCCCTGTCTCTTCCCATCATTAAGGTCCGGGACATGGAAAGTAAAATGTGTTTTGTAAGGTTCTGGTGCTACTTTGTGCCGATGATCGTGGCGCCAAGAGCTATCTTCGCGATTGGGCGGTTGAGGAATATCGGGATACAAATCAGTGAAGGATTTTGCCCCAGCTGCGATGAGGAGTTTTTCAGCCTGCTCGAGATCTTTGATTGCTTCCTTGACTGCTTCGCGATCACCCTTGTACTTTTCAAGTTCAATGACTTTATCTTTAAGCAAATTCTCGTGATCTTGATGTTTGAGTTTATTCTGGAATTTCTCATCTCTGTAGTTTTGTAAGGCTGCCCAGTACTTATAGGTACCCGGTTCCAGATCTGCCGTGTAGAAGGTCTCAGGTCGAAGAATTTCAGGCTTGTTTAACTCGAGGTTATCTGATCGAAATCGCCATTGATTATACACAGGCTCCTTCCATTCTCGAAGCGTCTTCAATTTGCGTTGAATAACATCTAGGATAGATTCTCTTGCGTTATGATAGTAATTTCGTGTTTCAGGATTATTGACCACTGACCATGCAATAGTTGTGAGAGTCTGGGGGTTGGCACCGTTTGCAAGAAGATCCCCAACAACAGCACCCATCTCCTTACAGATAGCAGTAATAATAGGTTGTTGGGCTGTTTGTTGGAATTGCTTCATGTTCGCTTCTGTATTTTCCTTTTTAGCATAAGGGTTCGTCTCCGTATACACTTTGATCCAATCTTCGAATTCAAATTGAGGCTTTGCACCTAAGTGCAGAAGTTTGGATGCCATCTCTCCGTAATTTTTCTTTATGGCAGTAGAAAGTGGTGTCTCAGCTGATCCGTGTCTTACAATTCCGATATTATTGATGACTCTTTGCGCGGCTGGTTGATCATGAGCGAATAAAACGTCCAGGATGTCGGTATTGTTTTGAGCGACAATGTAGTGAAGAGCTGTGAAATGGTTTGTATCTGATTGAGTCGAAGTTGCCCCTAGATTCAATAGTACTTCCACCACTTGCTTTGACTTTTCTTTGGGAAGAGACATTGCTAAAACCAAAGTCATGATTGCCCCTCGGGGATTGGTAGTTCCAGCTTCTACCAGCTTGACAGGGAAGAGAACATCGGCACCATATTCTGAGACGAGAAGTTTAATAACATCGACGTGGCCATTGAGAATTGCAAGGTGAAGTGGAGAGAGACCATAGTCCCAAGCAATGACGTTGATATCATAGATGTCAGGATCTTCCATAGAGTCGTCCATAACTGCAGCCTGAAAGAATCAATTAGTGGGAGAATAATGGAGGGAAAAATGGAATATGACTTACAACATCATCCTTATCTTCATTCTTGTTTCCTGGGATCTTGACAAAGCTTCCCATCGTCAGAGCATCAGCTTCCTCTTGTTCACTATCGAGGGTAATCTCTGATGCAGAATCCGATTCCTCTTCATTATCAGATGCAGTGCATGTAATATTACGAGTCTGCTTCGCTTCCTCTTCTTCTTCATTGGCCATACTCTTATTCAGGAGTATGCGAATCATCTCAAGATCACCTCTCGCAGCGGCAATATGTAATGCTGTTCTGCCATCTACAAGTCTAGCAATCAATCTGGCTCCATGATCGACGAGACATTTGACAATCTCTGGAGTAGAAGTCATAGTGGCTAGATGTAAAGGTGTGCGTCCAGTGAAGTCTCGGCGGTTGACATCGACACCTTCTTGGGAACACCAATCCTGAACATGTTCCAGATCTCCTTCCACGATAGCTTGACACAAACGTGCTGTATCACCGACATAACTCATAGTGGTCCACTCATCGTCATTTATAGGATTGAAACTTCCAATTTCCTGTCGACCGGGGTCGTCTGTGATAAACTTGAGAGTACCCGATACGTTATTCTTGCTTTCCTTTTCGGCCACCTCCTTTTCTTCGTCTGTGGTAGGAACTGGACAGTATCCGCAACAATCTTGAATAACTTCTTCTGCCGTGCCGAAAAAGCATGGATGACGATGTAGATAAACTTCACGATCTTTGTCTTGGTTCCATTCCGCATTCAGAAGCAAATCCTTGGCATACAGCAAGCGATTGATCTTTGCCGCATTGTACTTTTGCCCATAAGGAACTGTCATAGTATGGTAGTTGGCAATCTCATCTTGTTCAGCCCAATCTGCGACCTCGTCTCTTCTTGATCTTTCAAATTTCCATACAATCTACGTTGATTGCGGAAACCTCTGTTGAGAGATGGTCTACCACGTTCTTTTCGGCGCTGATCCATGTAGTTTTCCCGATCCTGAATTTGAAATTAGCATATGATCATTGCCATGGCCACATCAAGAGTACTTACAACTGTCTTTGGCAACTTCTCCAGAATCAACAATCTAGCGAGTCCTTCAGTGCGACCAAAAGAGCGCTCAAATATGGTAGGATCAATTCTTGAGCGATCCAACATTGGCCAGTGGACTTCGAAGCCTCTGTGGCTGTATTTGCTCAGGCGATTTTCGTAACTTGGCGACCTTCTGGTCAAATCGATGGTGTTGCATTGTGTAATGAATGATCCAACGGCTCTGGGACTCATATAAACTTGCTTTCCATCATACGCAGCACAAGAACAATCCACGTCAAATCCAGTGATAATCTGTGAGATTGAATCATAAAGTCTGAGGACAATTTGAACATGACGAGTGGGATGTTGACTCGCAATGGTGATAGCGTTCTTTGTGCGGATCGTGGTCGTCTCATGAAGGATAGCATCTCTGATGTTAGTCTCAATCTGCTTAATTTTCTCCAATCCTTCAGCCTCGGTAAGCCCATAAAGGAAGAGATCAACATCAGATGCCGGAGCCAAATGCTCGTGATAATATTCTCTCATAGCTCTCTTGCTACCTGCCCATTTCTCTGGGATTGGAAGAAGAGATGTAGTGACGGCACTACCAGCTGCAACAACATTGTTCCAGTCAAGGTCAGCCAATGAAGATTCGGAAAAAAGGTTGAAATTCGTCTGAAATCCTTGATGGATCCAACGACAGCTGGTGAGCCATTGGGTCGACGTTCTTCATCCTTCAATGGCATGATGTATTTTTCTGACTCTTCTTTAGACTCATTCTCAAGATCTCTAGCCCGTACCTTGAGATCATTCTCATGGCCAGAGAAGATGGGAACTAAATTGACAGCTCCATTTTTGACGGCTTCATGGTCAGGCTGTTGGGCGTAAACTTTGCGAAGTTCTGATTCATAGGCCTTGTATGGCTCAATGATGGTTGAGATGTTTTTGGTTGGGTTTTGAGATAGGTAGGGGATGAAATCCTTGATGGGAGCGGGAAGGCTTGGGAGGTCGATTGGAGCTGGACGTTCAGGGAGAGTATCTGAAGCCATGGTGATTTGGTATGGAGAAACTATTTCAGATATTGAGAGAGTAGAGGAACTATGGATTTGATGTTTTGTCAATGGGAAAACAGATGTATAAAGAAACAGTTTGAACCAAATATTCATCAAAAATTCAAGATAAATACCGGCGATGACAGTTACAGACACCAAGTAATCTGAAGACAAGAATCCCTTGACTATTATTTTCGAGGTATATTTTGCAGTGTAATTGAAATCGAGAAGAAGATGAAGATGAGTTTTGAAAAAAGAAAGCAATTCAACTGGAAATCATCTCTTTATAAATTCCACGCGCCACACAAATTCAAAAAGGTAAGAAACTCGCGATGATACACGAAAGTAACCCCTCGTCCCGTGATTTTAGGCAACTCCAGGCATCCACGTGATTTTCACCCGCTCTTTCCACAATAAATCGTCTTGGCGTCATCCGAGCAGTAAGCGGCATAATTTTGGACCACCTTTCCCCAGTTTTGGAATTGACTCGCATCCAATGTTTAGATTGCCATTTCGCATGTTGTCCATATGCGGCATTGATGCCTTCAGAATGGAGTTTGCTACCTAGAATTTGAGGATGATGAGAGTCATGAATAAAGATTTTAAGGTATCAAGGTATCATCAGGCACTACACCAATGTTAGATGGGCTATACACTGCACTACTGATACTATTCATGATGATCATGATGATTGATGATCGTGAATAATCTTTCTATATGAAGTTTACATTTACATATGATCAGAGTGATGATTCAATCATTTCAAATCGAATACGCCGCTCTTCTCCAATCGATAACAATTTCTATATAAATTCGAAAGGCCAACCCATTGATATCCATCGCACTTCGAATCTGGCTGTTTGCACACGAGGGCACACACGACGGGAGTTTCAGACTCATCAACACTATCGGCATCTACGACTGACATGGTACCTACAAATAGACATTCAACCGTCGAGAAATTCTCAACGCACCATTCTTGATCCTCCGAAACATCCAGATCCATAGATGACCACATAATTAAAACGAACTCATCAAGCATTTCCTCCACCAAGAGCGAAGTTTCGAAAAGACCTGATCTTCCAGGACCTCTGTTTCGATGGCTGTGAATCAGTGTAGCGGATATGTATGTAGCTCTGACTCTTATTGAGCCAAGTTTAAGAGCCGTACGAGAATCGTTAGTAACACCAGACATATCTGTACCCTCAAACCTGAAACATTCGTGAACCTGAAATGATGTAAAGGTTGGTCTGCCATAGAATGCAGCTGTTCCTACTGGAAACATGATAAGTGATATCCAAGACCAGCTTAGTGCTGTAGGTCTGTCAAATCGATATACTATTCTCCCAGACTGGAGACTAGCGTCCCACAACAAAGCCCTAGCAATATCTGTCTCTCATAAACCAGCTAGATATTTGCTCCCGAGTCGCCTTTGGAATATATTTGCTACGCCCAGAATAGCAATTGCTCGATCATCATGCTTAGTCAGAGCCAGCTTGCAATATTCACCCACTATGTTCAGCCATCTATCCAATACCGCACTTTCCGATATCGAAAATATATCTTGGTTGATGTTAGAGTCTAATAGTGGATAGGTTTCTCCAGACCCGCGCATTCGCAGAAAAGACCACTCCTGCACTCCAGTATCATTTCGGATGGGTGAAAATGTAGTGTACGAGAGGCAAGCATTCGCTCTTGATAAACCCAGGCTCTGGTCAAAAGTGGAAGCGCATCGTTGTCAGAGGCAGCCGGGTGGTTGTATCGTCGTTTCCCACTGGTAGTAAACCGGCGGTGAATTGGCTCGAAAGATGGCCTAATAAAGACCTTTGAAATATCATTACCATCATGAGGTATCTGAAAGGAGCTTATGGAGACACCTCCGAAGAAATATTTGATTTCACGATCATTGAAACAACCCGCTGTACTATACTTGGCTGCTGTTGCGGCAATATTTAGATAGCTGTTGGTATAGATATCGGCCATGAGCACAGCCTCTTTCTCCCAGTCATCAGAGTCGTTTGCACAATGCAAAGTCTATCTATCCATATGTAACGGACACGTGATTCCCTGAATATCTCGATTGCGTCTTGGAAAGTCTTTGGAAGGTTGCTCCATTCGATCCCCTCTTTATGGGACATTAGTGTTTCTTTTCTTGTAGTGATCACATGAACCAATCCCTAACAATGGCTGAGAGTGCCGTATTTAAGCTTTGTTGTGGCTTGATCAAAGATCTGGTCTCTGGTATCCATCAAAACAATGGATGGAAATACAGGAGCATTAAGATCCAGAATTCGAGAAGGTATGAATGAAGCTGATATTCTGGCAGTTGAGCATGGTCGATGCTGGGAATCACATATCGAGAGCCAGTTTTGGATAGTGTCTACACAACTTCGACTTGAAATATCAGATGGCACGTCGCAAGCGGTGTCAATCATTGGCCGATACCGAGGCTGACCCTTAGCTAATGTATAATACTGGAAGCGAATAGGTGTGCTGATTTTTGGGTGATCCAACTGTAGCTCAAAGGGGAATGTACGATGGAATACAAGTTCTCCTTCATACCATTCTGGAACATCTACTCATGATGATGCGACAAATGACACAGCCTGAGCTGACACTCTCTTTGAGCATAGATGACTCGAAATGTAGGCGATATTCCACAGTCATTTCAGGAGTGACATGTAACGTCCATTTATATTTCCCACCTTCTAGCTCCCAATTGAGATCTAAGCATGTTTTGCAAGCAGTCATTTCGAAGTTCTAAATATTTGGATTAGCATACCCGAGGAATAATTTGTGCATGACTGCAAAGCTGATCGCAACTTACTTGGAATGAATGTCGGTATCAGTTCCTGAAGTGACGTGGGTTTACGAGGTATTTGCAGCGTCGTGATATCTGAAGCTTGAATTAGAATGTCATCGAAATCTTGAGTATTAGTATAGACCAGGTCCAAAGATGTGAATGATGATACTCAGATTCATCAATCATAGTCCATGTTCTGATCATATCATTATGGACATCAATACTGATGGTGGTACTGCCAGCGCATTTAGTCATAAGCCGTTGAGTGGTACAGCGTATGGATATCATACATCTGGGACCCCGAAGGATAGTCATACGATATCTTATGTTGTACTGCATATACAATCCACAGGGTGGCATACTCTGCACAACCTAAGAAAACACGTGCTAGCCTGGTCACATCTCGGTAAATAAAGGAGACTTCAAAATTCAAAGTACACTGAATATCGTAACATGAATTCGATATAGTGCTGAAGTGGAAGAAAAGCATAGTAGAAGATTAATCAGTAGATTGGCTTTGGATATAGGATCTCTCAATGTTGAATAAGAGAGCTCGATGAATGCGTTATATGAGACCTTCAGTACAAATAGAAAATTCCTAGAGCAAAGCTGATGGGGCTGAGTGCACTGGCATAATTTCAAACTTAATCAAGCCAGCAATATAAGAAATGCTTCTCACCTATCCAACCTGTCTCTTCCTCCTTACAACCTGTCAATTCACCAAGTTCAATAACAATACCCATCGCCCATTCAAATCGTGTGCTCAAAATTAAAACATAAATCTCGAAAGATTCGAAGCTACCAGCACTCGCTGCCTCGATTTCATAGACACCCCAAATAATGTAGACCATATCATTACATATTCTCGGCTCCATTAGTTGCAAATGAACCATGAATGAACGAAATGGAACTGAGTAATAATGTCAGATATGAGTGTCGCTTTTCCGTACTGCGGAATCATATGTGATATCAAAAAAATATTCATCATCAACAATGACGCATCAAAGCCATGTTATTGACTCCTACATTTCAGAATCAGTGAGTACTTCAATGAGTAAGCTATCAATCTCCCCCCTCTCTCAATCCCAGCACCATCTATCAAAACACCAATACGGCATGCCAACAAGTATGTGCAGAATCAAGGGTTTTGAGGCTATTTGAGGTTGTGAATGGAGCCGGGAAAGCACAGAGGGTGTCATACCATGTTTCGAACAGCTCAAATCTGGCAAGCCATGTCCCAAAATCGATAGGAAGCCATCACCACTGAACAAAAGGTGCCCGAAATGTGTCGATGGAGATAGATGGGAGGTAATTTCTGGCTCAAAAAATGTTGCAGACCATATTCAAACACACCGCACTATCCAGCGAACATCCACACGCTTTCAACCTTCTCCAAGCGAAGCAAGCATGAAGGCTGGAGTGTCAAGTATATGAGCCACTTGGCTGGAAAGTTGGTGGACTTTGTACATATTCAAATTATCAGCATGGAAAGCACAGGACAAAACGAGAGATGGCATCATGGTATCTTTGATATTAATTCAATAGACATGCATACAAACCCATGTTGCACAACCGAACAGAACAAAACGCGAATTCATGTCGAGCAATTAAATGCATTCATTAACCATGGGATATCTAGAATACACGAGCTACGAAAAGAAGCATACGCTCTAGCTCATCGTACATTTCCCTCATCTCATCACCAATCTCTCCTCTACAAGTACAAACCTTCAGGCTCGCCCTCACTCTTAGTCTTCAAGACACGTTCTCTTGCAGCTCTGAAATCAGCCATTTGGACACGCATTCTACGCTCTCTCAATGCCATCAAACCAGCCTCGGAACAGATCGCCTTGATATCAGCACCGGAAAGATCATCCTTTTGGTTGATAAATTCTTCCAAATCGACATCTTCGTTCAAGGACATCTTGGATGTGTGAAGAGTGAAGATCTTGCGTTTAGTATGTTGATCAGGATTCTCGAAAAGAATTTTTCGATCAATACGTCCCGGACGAATGAGAGCAGGGTCGAGAGTATCAATCTTGTTTGTAGCCATGATAACCTTAACATCTCCACGATCATCGAAACCATCAAGTTGATTAAGAAGCTCCAACATAGTTCTTTGAATTTCACGTTCTCCACCGGATGTAGATTCATAACGTTTAGTACCGATCGCGTCGATTTCATCAATGAAGACGATGGATGGTGCATTTTCGGCGGCAACCTATAAATATTAGTATTCGTCTTACCCAAAGTGAACATTGAAAATATGCATACCTGGAAAAGTTGTCGAACAAGTCTAGGTCCGTCACCCAAGTACTTCTGAATCAACTCACTACCAACAATTCGCAAGAATGTCGCACTTGTTTGATTTGCAACCGCCTTTGCCAATAAAGTTTTTCCGGTACCTGGCGCACCATAGAGAATAACACCCTTGGGAGGCTTGATACCCATCTCCTCATATAATTCGGGGTGTAACAAAGGTAATTCGACTGATTCTCGCACTTCTTGAATCTGCGACTCGAGACCACCAATATCTGCGTAGGACTCCGTTGGAGCTTTGTCGAGCTTCATCACTGAAACCAAAGGATCCGTATCATCAGTAAGAACACCAACAATCGAAACGGATTTATGATGCAGCAATACACTTGCACCAGGCTCCAAGAGATCTTTGTCGACAAATGACATGATGGAGACGTAGTATTCCGGTCCAGTAGTACTTGAAACGATAGCATGATCATCATCAATCATTTCCTCCAAAGTTCCAACACCCATTGGACTACCACGCATATCATCAACACGACCTCTTTCATCGGCATTTCTGTCAGCGGCGTCTGCATCACCACCAGCGTTGGCGGGTGCTGCTGTTCCTTCCTTTGCAGCCTTGGCCTTTCTCAAACGTTCCTGATTCTCAACATATTCTTCTTCGAGGAGCAAATGATCGTGAATTCGTTGCATTCGAAGATATCGGAGTTTGCATCGAGACGTCGGATAGACGGCTGGTAACTTTGCGGAGGCATTTGGACCGGCAGCCTTACGCTTCTTGCGACCGATTCTAGTTGTTGGTCTTGGGGGTGGCTCGTACTTTGGCTTATCCTTCTATTGTCGGGCAATCAGTCCCTCGTCCATTTCCTATCATTATTACGAATGTGTATATGTACCTTCTTAGACTTGTCATCTTTTCCATCTCCACCTGGTTGATTACCACCAAGGCCGGATGGTTGTTGACCCTTTGAGATTATGTTAATATTGTCGCTCATACAAATCATGGGTTGGAAGCCTACCATCTTGTTCTTGGTAAATCAAGAAGCTTTCAGTAGGAAGGTAAAGGATTTCGTATGATCCAGATTCTTGATGAGGGATATTCGGATGTAGTTGTGGTGGTTGAAGTTGAGAAAGGTGGTATATTTTGTTTGTAATAGATAGGTAGCAACAGCTTGGATGCTCTTTTAGCCTTCTACAACGATGCAACAAGGCGACAAGAACGACGCGAATGAATAAGAAGCTAGCTTGGCTTGGACCACCTGGGCGATTCGATAAGTGAAAGTCGTGGATGCCTTAAATTTATGTGGCCTTACCTAAGCCTTCTCGCCTTACACACTCAAAGTATCAGGCATCAACTTTTTTGTTTATTTTTGGCAACAGCAGTGAATTCGAGTGATGCCCGAGAGTCGGGATGGGATGGGATGGGATGGGATGGGATGTATCTATTGGCTTGCTCGGATGTCATTACTGCGCTGCTTGCAATCATCATTCCCTCCACACATAACAAATCCATCGTACGAAGTATATCACTTCTTTCCATTGACAGAAACACGTACAATCAATATACACACATTCCATCTACACGGCATATGTTGGGTAACCTTTGGGCATAAAGGTGGACATAAGGGCTCTCGTCATATTTGAACCCATTCATGACATTCTTTGAAATATCATTCATTCTCTTCACTCCAGTCTCACCAGCTTGGATTCTGTATCCCGTTTCCCGTATGGTACGATACCGACTACGATAAACATTCAATTGACTGGCTCGACTGGTAGGTAGAAAGTGGGACAGCTATCCACTTATCAATAACCCCGCCAAATTTAGATCCTCAAGCATCCATAAAGTGCGAGTATTGGTAACTGTCTTGGGTTACATGAATACACCACTACTTTCAAAAGGCTTTATTGGTAAGTGCCTTGTCTTGAATGTCACTCTTTCTTCGTCCTCATTATTCGGCGTATTCTATCCACTACGACCCTCGAATGACCTTCTTAATCTGACTTGAAATAGTTGGAGAGTAACAGCGAAATCACTATATCATTCTCGATACACATTCACCACCTAGGTTGTCAAAGAAATCTTAAAATTGTCTACACAGAGCAATCGCGAAGTCGTCGAGTCCAGTAAGACATCATCCTCGAGCCCGATCACAAGATTCAATCTCGACCTCGAAACTCGAGCATACAGCCTCGAACCTCCATCAACATCAACAATCCGATTTACAGCACAAACATGTCTTCCAATAGAATGCGTCGTATTGCCAAAGAGCTGAACGATATCGCCAACGATCCTGGCGCTCAAATATTTTGTCAAGCAAGAGATGGTAATGATAGCGATCTGACCAGCCTTCGAGGTTCTTTTCCAGGTCCACCAGACACACCCTATGAAGGAGGCACATACTTAGTTGATATCAAGATTCCCAATGAATATCCATTCAAACCCCCACATATGAATTTCGCGACCAAGGTCTGGCATCCAAATGTCAGCAGTCAGACTGTAAGTTTTAGTCCTGTAGGGAACGGAATTAAATGTTGACGTTTGAACAGGGGGCCATCTGTCTTGATACATTGTCCTCGGCCTGGTCTCCGGTTTTAACCATCAAGTCCGCCCTCCTTTCCCTTCAATCTCTTCTCAGCGAACCGGAGCCAAAGGATCCACAAGACGCCGAGGTAGCCACTATGTTGATCAACCACCCTAAGGAGTTTCGAGAGAAAGCACGCGACTGGGCAATTCATTATGCTGGTGCCCCAAGAGTCACCAAATGGTCTCAGGCTGCCGCCTCAAGCCCCTCATATCTCCCTCCGGTCAAACATCAATCACAAGAAGAGAAGGCGCGACAGGAGATGTTGAAGTATGCCAGTTTTCCTTTAATTTTCCCCCTCGAACGTTTACAGTAGATAGCAGACTAACAAGAAACCACAACAGATATCAAGGATACAACAAGGCTCTGGTCGATCGCTTCGTATCCATGGGATTTGACATTGAAAAGGTAGTCGATGCATTCAACTTCGTTCATATCGACCGCCATGGTGGGGAGGATTACGAATTAGAGGAGGCTTATATGGGTGATATCACAGCAAGACTTCTTGGAGAACCATGACTCATGAATGATCTTCGACATACAATGAATGGTGGTTGGATGAATGAATGAATGGACAACCAAAAGGAACATGAATGGCGCACAACTTTTTAATCAAAAGAGGCATAATACTTTTGCGATTTAAACGTACGACCGAGATTCAAGAGAATAATTTCAAGCTCATTGGCTTTCTGTAAAGGTATACAGAATTGCTATATTATGAGTACAATCAAGAAATGGTGAAGATATGGATGGGGAAACGGCATCTCGGAATTTGAGCCTTCTCCAGGAACAAAGCTTCATTAGTACAGGCGTTGGCATGGATATCTATCCACATGGCGTTACGTATAGCTTTCTACTCAATTACATATCAAATATTTATTCAATTTTTTGCTTCGAGCTATGTGATTTGAATTTATTGATGTGCTATCCAAAGACAGAGTAAGAGATTAAGAAAGTAAGTATACTCGTATAGTACTTACTCAATGTTAGATGCTCTGAATTTATATCCAAATTGCGATATCTAGTTATAAGAAAGGTTGTTTCGATATGACATTCTCGTCTTTTACTCACCCATATCGATTTCTTAGTCAATGATGTACAGGCTATATCTTTCTGCATGGCTTATGATAATAGAATCATGTTAGGGAGGGCATGAGTTGAGAGATATTTATTCATACTTGATATTGTGATTTAGGGCTGTGCGATGTGGAATTTTTGGGTATGTGGGATGTGGTATGTAATGAATGGGGGTGTAGATTGTGATGGGGATGAGGGTGGGGATGATATGGAGTATGACCATTGAGCATTAGATATTTGTAGGGTACCTAGTTGAGAATGGGTGTTGGAACTTTGTATTTTTCTTTGGTTTGGTTTTAGGGGTAGTTTTGGGAGTAGATTTGAGTCGAATTTTGACTCTTGAGTCGTATTCTTGGTTTAGATTTGGGTTCGGATTTAGGTTTAGATTTGAAGTGGATGGAAGGTAGATGGCTGAAGGGTAGAGGGTAAGGGTAGAGGGTAGAGGGTAGAGGGTAGAGGGTAGAGGGTAAAGAGTAGAGAGTAGAGGGTAGAGAGTAAAGGGTAGAGAGTAAAGAGTAGAGAGTAGAGGGTAGAGAGTAAAGGGTAGAGAGTAAAGAATAGAGAATAGAGAATAAAAGATAGAAAGTAGAGAGTAGAGAATAGAGAGTAGAGAGTAAAGAATAAAGAGTAAAGAATAAAGAGTAAAGAATAGAGAGTAAAGGGTAGAGGGTAGAGGATAAAGGGAGGAGAAGGAAGAATTGGAGGGGGGAGGGGAGATTTGCAGAGGACTTCGCTTGATGGGGTTGCTAGTTTGTTGTGTGAGAGTTGGGAGTTCAGGGATGAAGAGGTTGAGGGGATGAGGGAATGAGGGATGGAAGGAGTGGGGGAATGATAGTGTGGGTTTGAGATGTTAGATATTAGATATTAGATACTTGGGATGTATAAGAAATAGATATATATACAAGATTTGTGAGAACTTAGAACTCGGAACTGGGACTTGAGAACTATTGAGGGGATTAGCCTCGGCTGGCTAGGCTGAGTATCTGGGTAGTGAGTAGTGTAGGGTAGTGTGGTATAGGTAAGTTGTAGTGCTTTTTCATTCCTTTTTGGGTGTGAAGAATCAATTAGTATTCATTTCTTGACGGTCTGTTTATTTTGTGTAGATAGTTGCATACTACGGATACTTGATTAATTTGTATTTATTTTTTAGGGGATATTACTGCCTGATTGGATTTATAAATGATCGTAAGCGAAGGGTTTTTTCTTTTTTCATTGTTTTTATCTTTAAAAGGCTTTAAAGAATGATTCAAATACTAGTAAATTAACTCGTTCCGTAAATCACAACTATTCATAATTATTTAGTCGCTCAAATCGAAAATTGATGGAGATTGAGAGTAGATGTAAGACTTGTTGAACACCGGTATGATTCTCAGGGTGAGGGAGAATAGAAAACCTTAAAAAGTGGATTGTGGGATGTGTGGATGTAACAGGGGCTTCGGTTAAAATATTCGGGAAAAATGTAAGGTTGAATTAGTACGGTCTTGAAGTAGAATTGTATGAATCTGTGGGTTTTTGGATTGATTGTTTGGATTTTATTTTCATTGAATTATTGTAAGATTTAGTTTTGTATTAGAAGATTGATTGGTGGTTTGTTGGAGCTGGGGTTCGTTGGCTGCGGATGGTATGTGTGTGTTGCGGAAGAAAAAGAGGTCTTGTGCGGAGAGTAGTGTTTTTGTTAGATGAGATGGATCAAAACTCTTTGATTAGGCTTTTGAAGCAATTCTTTACATTGGTTATTGAGTTTATCGCTTTAATGTATAATTAGATCTTCGATCTATCCACACCGTCAATACACTTACAGTGACTAACACGCATGTACCAGGACCTTCAGGAATATTGTTCTTAATTGACTAACATCATATCCTTTGCTGATATCATGTGTTATCTCTTCCGTCTTCCCAGAATATCAATTGAGATGATGGATTGTGTGACTGACCTTTGAGGCATAGCTTTTACCGGTTTCTGGGAGCCTTGATTTCAGATCGAGGATTATGAAAAGATTGTGTTCGGTAGAAATGAACACAGTGAGGTCTTCATTAATGTATGGGATTTGGCAAATATCGTTACTTCAGTCCTGAAGATTTGAATGGATCTTGGTATGAGCGTTTGGAACAATGAGATTTCCATTTTTCAATCAATCTTGCACAATAAGTTGCTATTCTTCAAATCAAATTATGGACAATTAATCCTCATGTCATAAGTCAAATTTGAACAATGAGGTCTCATTCTTTGAAATTTTCATGAAAAACGGCTTTTTTTAGATTAATTATAAAATCTCTTTTCTCCAAGCCATATTCGAACAATAAGGGTATGTTGTCGATATCAGGCTAGTGCATTGAAGGTTCATTTGTCGGAATCAAAATTGAAACACCTAGGTATCTTCCTGGGCTTTATTTCTTTTCATTTGTCGTCTAAAATACATGTTTCTCCGTCTCTATCCCTGTTAGTAGCTGCACAGATATACTAAGAAATATGGGCATAAAATCAAAAGAGAAAACAGTAACCTAGGTCTAAACACATTTATTTTCTTGGAAGTGTCTCATATAAGGCTGATGCTCGCTTACCAGTCCTCGACGGTATGATACTCTTTGTTAGGAAGAGACTTATCTCGAGCATCAATAGGCTTGTGATCCACCAAGATCCTAATCTCAATATCAAAGCAAACTTCGACAGTTATAAAATTGCTGTGATCAGAGAGACACAGTGTATAAGCTTGCTTGTTCTCCATGTTATGGTATACTCCTTCTTGGTAGAAAACGAATTCTGGACCCACAGAAGCATCCCTAGCGCAAAGCTCGTTGGCACTATGGCTAGTGTGGTTACTCGTGATTAATCTTCCTACAAACGAGTACGAGGGCCAGTAAAAGTGGTGCTGGTACTATTGATTGTCATTGAACTATTTGTCATCCGTCCCTGACTAAGTAGCAAACCATGAATTGTACATAGAAAATGCCGAAAAGACATCATTCATGTCCTCCATCCTTGAATCTTACAGCCAAGCTCAAATCTCTCTTTTAGCCTTTCTAGAGCTACGCGTAACAACTTTGACTCCATGAAAGATTACGAGTATCAATGCGAAATAGCGAGATGTCAATGACAGGCGAGTAAGTAGAAAATGTGTGCCACATGAGAAGCAACAAGTACAAGGAAGTGGCCATTCAGTGGGGATGGATCTAATCGTTTATCTTCTATATTCTCGAGATTCATATGTCTTTGCCTCCGAGTATCAAGTAAAAGGTAGTTCCATAAGGTATGACAAGGTATAAAATCTAGAAAAATAAGCAGAAGAAGAATCTTATGTATCTCCATGGTCATGGAGTGCAAATTCCAAACTGAAATAAGAAGTTCAATTGGGATAATTGCGTGGCTATTCATATTTGAATCCGATATAGCATTTTGCCGACCATTAAAACGTGGAACTAGGTACTGTAGAAATGTATCTATGTACCTAGGTAGGTATACGTAGGTAGGAAGTTGTTTGTTCTGCCAAGCGAAGGCGGTGAAAGAGCTGCTGTCTCATCCACCAACGACCACCAACAGCCACACCTTGAAATACAAATCAATTGAACCCACCAGTCATGGTCAGATGAGTCGATCTATCAATAATGTGTGCGGTATGTCCGCGCCGTAGCTGAATCACCTATTGATATTGTTAAGAAACGTATGATCTTCTAAATAATGCTGCACAATCCCAAAGTCCTAGCGATTTTCCTTGCACACTATTTATCTTCTAAGAGTATTTTTCAGGCAATATAGAGACTACAGCTACGCATACTATCAATCTAATCAACCTGCCCAATGATATCGTTGTTTTAACTTTTGCTGAAATACTGGAGACTGTCGGGTTATGGAAGGCTCTTGGCCTGCGAACAGTGTGCAGCACGTTTTTGTACCCCAACAGACCCATCATAATTGCGCTAACAATCATACAGGACATTTTGAGGTATAAATTACAAACGCAATATGTGTCGATTATATCAAAAATCCTCATGGTCCTGTTGATGACGCTCTGGAGATATGCCGCAGACACCCTCCCAGTAAATTACCCCGTATCACCCCTCTTCTCATACACAAAGAAATGAAAGTCAACACCAGTGACATGATACTTACTCAAATGCATCGAGAAATTATTGCTGTGTCTAAAATTCATTGTCTGTCGGAGGAAAAACAGAGTGAATTGGAACTCGCTGTATGTGAAGCTGTAGAGGAACGATTGATTTGGGCACCATCCAGCTGCAGGAACACAAATGGAAGGCGGCAGTTAAGCTTTCTCGCTTCAAGGCTAACGCGGACTTACAACCCAATACCTATAGTCGACAATGATATTCCAGTGGATACGATCAACGCGGAAAGAATACCTGATATGCAAAATAGACTCTGCATTGCTATCATCGCCAATGAAATTGCATACGTACGAGTCTTGCTTGAAAGTCACTATGCAGATGCCAATTTTAGGAACAAATACTTCGGTAGACCGTTGCATCTCGCTTCAAGATACGGAAGAGTCGATATAATACAGGTTCTTCTACACCATGGCGCCGACTCCAGCGCAATTCAACCATATTATAGCCCTCACTGGACAGGAGGTTTAGGAGGAGAAAAGTTCTTCTGTTCCTCGGGGAGCGCGTTACGTGTAGCCGCAATGAATAGTCACTTTGAAACAATGAGATTGCTTGTACAACCACGCTATAATGCAGTACTACCCCTTTCCCACGAAGAAATCCAAGTGGTCCTTCGTGTTGCGGCGAGGACGGGATCTGTGAGAATTATTTTGTTTCTCATGGACATGTTCTACGGGTCACAGGCTGAAAGGAAACATGCAGAAGAAGAAGTTATACTTCAAGCCGCTTCTTGGGGAAGAGAAAATCTACTTAAAGTGATGTTGGAACGTGGTGTAGATGTCAACTGTATTGCGGGACCGAATCACACTATGCCATATTGGTCGCCCATTCACTGTGCCGCTTACAAAGGCTATGCGAAAATTGTCCTCTTACTGTTGTCAAATGGCGCCGAACTAAATAGTGTGATTGGCCGGAGATCAAGAACCAACCTTGGTATTGGATTTTATGCGATGAGCTTTGCAGTCGCACGAGCTCACAACGAAGTGATTCATGTTCTCATAGACTATGGCGGGATTGTGTTGAAAGAAAGAATACGCCCGGATCCTTCATCAAACACGACTCTATTGAATATAGCCGCACAATGGAGCCAGCACCATACGATGCGTTTGTTGTTGAAAGAAGGGGGCGATGTTACCGAAATAGGCGAGCAAGCTCTGCATGAATATGCCGTCAAACGCGGAGATCTCTTGATGACACGTCTTCTTATCGATGCTGGCGTTTCTCCTTGTGATAATCCCAACAAAAGCCACCAACCAGTGCTCATAGCAAAATGTCATGGATGGCAGCACATTGTGGATCTCTTAATCAGTGCAGGGGCTGGTGATATCAACCCATTTGATACAGATAAATACCCTATCGACACGAATTTTCCTAGATGGCTATTATCCTCTAAAGCAAAACAAGACACCGCGGCAACTGTGGAATATACGAGGCAAATATTGATTTGATGCAACGAGAAAACTTTGTGGATTGCAATGCGCCATCGAATAAACCCAAGGAATGTTTTTCTCGAAAATATCTGGTGCAGTTACAACTCATGCCAAAATTCAATTGATCCTAAATGTTGGCATTCAAGTAATTCGGAATTTTTCTTCCTGAATTAAATCTCCTCTCGAGGCACATATGATTTCAAATCTATTGATGCCCTAAACCATAGTCTACCCATCCAATTCAAGCAAAGTTAGAAGATCAGATTCAAGACTTTGTCGCAGTGAAAAGTCTTGCTATCCCATTCACCTCATCAAAATGATAATTCATACGATAAGAATGTAGCATAAAGTTTGCACATGAGGCTAAGTTCTGCAATCTTAATACCCCAACTAAGCTGAGATGAGATGTGTTCATAAATATCCCTGAACTTTGATCCTTCCCTCACCAAACATATCCCCGTGGTACAGTGGTCTACGTAACGCCTCCACCCAAGCCATAGTAATCGGGGCCCTCTCAATCGGGCCAAAAAGGGGAACAGTTTGGTACAGTCATTCTATAGTACGAAGTTGATTGGGACCGAGAGGCGCTTAACAGCGCCTCGAAGTTTTGCTATTTTGTTTTCTGTGTTTATTTTTGTTTTTGAAGATTTGATTTTGAGTGCTTTTGGTTCGGTTCGTCAAATCGCTAGAGCGTCAATTTGTATTTTTGTGGGTCAATTCTTTTCTAAGCGACGTCGAGGTTAGGTTTGGGATCCTCACTTCTGGAGCAGTGAATATTTCCGAAGGAATTTGAAAATTTGAACTGATTCATGTGTAATCATGAGGTTCTTCAATTTAACTTTCAAGCTGAATATTGCTTTCCAATTTATTCAATTAGACCAAACAGTATTGACAGAGCCTCGCTTATAGTATCCTGCGCTGCTGCACTACTCAACCTGTTCGTGGTAGCAAGCTCTAAGCTTCCATTCATGACTCCCATCACCCTTGTTCCTGATTCGCATATCTCATATATTTTAGCGTAGATGCAGACATGTCAATGTTTTCACTGCCCATCATAAATTAGCCCAACTCGTGCCACATTCTCTGATTCCCTCTGAATATCTCAATAATCGGCAAAAACAAGGTCTCGCAGCACCCTTTGATTGTCATTCCCCACAAAAATATAAATACTAATTTCGAATGAGTATGCCTCTTATATTATCCTTGGAAAAAAGTCAAACAACCAGATATTTAGACCAAAAACTATTAATTGCTGTAACTACTGAGGGAGTGGTAACATCTGCATAATGCGTATCGCGGTTGTGACAAACTCATGGATATTGTTGTTGAGTGTTTGAACTTCTTCCTACTTTCTTCATTTTTGTTGGCATGATGTTGATTATTTGATCAATCAATTGCATCACTTGGTAGAAGCAGCTGTGAGTATCTTGGTTTGGTTTTTGAAACCAAACTTGGTACAATTGAGGAATGGGTCCAAAGCTAATAGATTTATTAGATGGGTGATAGATTCGTTCTTTTGTTATAATGGGTGATGGTCTATTGCCTCAAGAAAGACGTTGTCAGTGACGCGCAAGCTTGGCACCAATTTCTATATTAGGACGGATGTAAAAGCAAAGTAAAATCAAATAGAAGCTCTCACATACATATCAGCAACCTACTCTCAGAAGGCGCGAACGAAGCGATATCATTGAATCTCTATATGATGCAGTTATCACGTGTCTAATCCACAGATATACACCCTCACCACTAACAAAACACAATCCATCCCCAAACTACCGTCACTAATCCCCAGCTCCAGTACTTATCTATACCCATAATCGAGCCTTCAGATTTAGGAGGTGAAGAAGTGTCCCCCCCAACCTCCCCATTCGTACTTTCCACCACTTTCAAACAACTCAAATGTGACTCCGCACTAGCAGTAATAGACGAGGTATCATTAGAACTCGACGTGTTCCATAAAACTGTGAGAATCGGGGTAATGCCATTATAAAATGCGCCCTTTGCGAGGTCTGAGAGTAAAGCAAAGTGAGCGACATCTACTATACTCGAGGATGTGGTGTTGTGGATTAGAGATAACTCGTAATTCTCTCCAGTTGTTGGGATACAATCGGGTGACTTAGGTGTGCTTGGTGGAGAAATTGGGGAGCTCAAGCCTATTATTGTCATATTAGCCATAAGCTTTCACTGTGATATCGCCCACTATTGAATTTGAGATACCTTGTGCAACAATATCTCCCCAGCTACCACCCTTTGCCGCAGTACAAGATGCCGGAACTTGAGATTTAATGGCTGATTGTAGCGCATTGCAAATATTTGTTTCGTTCTGAGCATTCGGGGTAACTGACAAAATTTTGGCCATCTGAGATTGAGATTGAGCTAATAGGTCATCAACACAAGACGCTGTAAGAGCATCATTACATGTTCCTGTAGCGCTGGTTCCAAATGTTAAATCTGATCCTATTCCATCGAAGAATAGTGCGCATGCATGGGTGCTTGATCCCGAGGTCAAATTTATTGTTGGAGGAGTTCCAAGATAAAAATCCCGGCTCAAGGTTATGTTGAAGGAGGAAGTGGCAGTGGGTTTAACAGGGCCTGTAGGAGACGAAGAGGTTTGACGATGCTTGAGATGCGTGGTTGGGATAGAATGTTCAACTGTTTCTTCGGATTCTTGAATCCCTAATGTCCAGGTAAATGGTGATTGATCGATCGAAGTATTAAATGAAGTGATTCCGATCACAGAAAGTGTAATATTATTGATTGGGCATGTGGGTGGATTATACTGAGTGACGCAGTTCACAGAATCACAACCGACGAGCGTTTGAGCCTTGATGACAGTTGAGATGGAAAGCACATAAGCAATGGAGCGCAACATTCGTTTCAGTTCTTGATGGTACATGTTGATGCAAAAGCGGAGTTGATGTGTTGGTGGTGCTGGTGGATGAGACTCCTTTTTATTAACCAAGAAATCAAATAGCGAAAAGGATCGAAGGTTTCAAATTCGGAGGGCTGAGTATATGTACTTATGTATCCATAAGATTGAGGAGAGGAGATAAAACGTCGAATCAATCACTGGACTGCGGCTTTCTCGTGGAAACAGTGCCGTAATCATTCCAACAAATACAAACGTGAAGTGAATAATTTGGCAAGTCAAATTCCGAAATAATTACCCACTGTGAAGCAAAAATTTCTATAATTATACTCGTAATGATATAGCCAATCAATCAACTCAACAAAATTTTGGTATAATTACAAGAATGAATAGTAAACTGACTGCGCAAAGAGGCTTAAAAAATGTCATTCAATGACAGGACCAATAGAAACGTCAATATTTAGATATATTTGATCCTTTAAATAGATTTAATTCACGCTGAAACGAAGGCGAGCGGCACAGCAAGATTTGAGAATGGTCGTACTCAAATCCATACTACAAACAAAAAATCATAACTGCCTAGTAAACTTGCGCAATAGATTGATAAAAATGACACGCAGCTAGAAACAAAGGTACAGTTGAATATTAATGTAAAAGAGCTTTTGTTTCTGCCACACTTGAAGAAGAGACTATAGTCATTTTGATGTAAATGGTAAAAAGATCCTACTTCATCATCAGGATCTTCAAGGAAGAAACTCGCATTTTTACGGATTGATACCGCGGCAGGCACACGTGAGATCACACGTGAGACATGCATACTGTCTGTTTCTTGATATTGGATAGCATCGTATTACCACTGTAATCACCGTTGTCTCATTTTTGGGGTCGAAAGTAGGCAAGAACTCAGTGCATATCTGGATGAATTTTTGGTGAGTCGACGTCGTTGATTGATGTCCTGAAGGTGTTGAGGTCCCGTGTTCCCCACTTTTGATTTCATGAAGGAGATAACCTAAATCAAACCTCTCAATTCTCAAACAATCATATATGTAAGATTATCTACATTCAGTTCATCAACCAATTTCAAGCCTTTTAGCCGACTTTTGATAATCTCGTGGACCACATGCGCATACAGTACAGATTGTGAGCTAACAATTTTTCGTTGAGGCGCACATAGATGCATCGACCATGACTTCATTGTCACCAACGCTTGTGGTTGGCAGATGCCAAGATATGCAGCAATTTAGGCCAATTTCATAACTACCATCAGAGTCTTTACGAGTTGGGGTCGATGGAGAAATGAACGTCCTTTGTCGGCGTAATGTTGTGCGATACGGCAGCTATTCCCGAACAGAATACCGACGTAAGATCATCGAGAGATTTCGGGGAAGAATCCGCCGGAAAGACACAATAGTCCTCGAGGCAACCATGGTGGATGAAGAATACTTTCTGGAAGTGCCTACCTTCGAATTTTTCATTTTCATTCATTCATCTACCAGCCCAAAATTGAGGGCTGTGAGGTATCAAGAGATGATGCAAATTGAAGTCTCGAATCCTTCGCTCTGGTCTTCTGAAGTATGGGAGGTGTCAGATAAAAAACATTTGTATTTCGGGAATTTTGAAAGCCTACAATGTTTTAGTACACCTTCTTTTTTGGGCAAACTTTCAGTCTTGATCCACATATCTGTCACGATCTATGAGCTTGGTTTTCATCCAAAATATCTCCCGGCGCTGGAAAATCTCCGCATTTATCCGGCAGATTCCTGGGGTAATTATACATATTATGGATCCCCAGATTTCTGTTGTAGCCAAGATGCCATTACCCCTGTGGTATAGCAATATAAAGTTATTTCGCTGGCTTTTATCCCACGAATCTCCAAGCGTACCTTACATCACGCGTTGCTGAATTTCATTACTTTGCCCAATGTGCTAAATTCGTTGTTTGATCGTCGCGAGTTACCTTTTCAATGCCCATCATTACTTCGTTCGGTAAATGGGATACCCATTTTTGGAAGGCCGAATGCATTCATACTTTTATGTGCATGCCTTTTTCGACTCCTTTCCCCTTTCTCTCAATTTATATATAAGCGCAACAATACTCTTCAAGTCCTGACATTGCCAAGAAAGAGACCGAGGTGCCCGGTTGAGCGGGTGGGAACTCGGCGAAAGATCATTCAGCATGCTAGATGGTCCCTCAGTAAGGGAAAATGAATTGCCATGCACTTATATGTGCTAACTATGATCCCCCAAATTTATGTTCTGTTCATCAAGTGCTATGCTCTCTTTCACTCCACTCATTTCCAAAACTAATACCTGATACTCCGAGTCTTCCGAGTTCGCAATGCGTCTAAATCTGAAAGCCATTCTGCTTTCGGCTTCGTTTTTCTTGCCATCTCTTGTATCTGCCCAGCTCGCTTCTGGCTATCCAATTGGCCCCCTTACTACTTCGGCTGCAAAATGGGCAAAAAAAGTCTGTGATGTGACTAAGTATGGCGCAGTAGCCGACGGAAAGACAGATCTAGGACCAGCTCTTCTTGCCGCGTTCAATGCCTGCGCAAGTGGTGGCGTCGGTATGTTTGTAGACTTGCGTAATTTTGGTGTGTGATACTAAGGTACGATCCAGTGAACATCCCTCTTGGGAACTTTGCGATGTCTACATGGGTTACACTATCTGGTGGTAATGCATGGGCCATAAACCTCGAGGGTGTCATTCTTAGAACTGGGTAAGCTCTCTCGCTGCTTCAAAAATATTTTTAGTTCGCTAAGAATTCGTATGCAGTACCGCAGGCGGACACATGATTGTTAGTAAGTTTACCGCCTGAATACTCATAGTTCTAGTATTTTCTAATTCCCACCTATAGTCCAAGACTCTACCGACTTCGAAATCTACAGCAGTAGATCGAGCGGGGCTATCCAAGGTTATGGATATGTATTCCATGCACAGGGAATTTATGGGTAAGACTCTACGATGAAAGCCTCTCGAGAATATAGTTAACCCTTAGTGAAGGCCTCGTCTCATTCGACTAATTAACGTTGTCAACTTTTCTATCCACGACATTGCACTTGTCGACTGTAAATTTCCCTCTGACCTTTTTCTATCAAAATCTTTTCAACTGTCGTATCCATTCCCATACAGTCCCATGTAGTAAAATGCACTAGATCTTCTAGCTTTCTTCCAATGCTTCTCTTAATTCATACTGTCGATCTTTACTGATCATTCCACTAGCTCCGGCATTCCATCTTATTCTCGACACCGTGCAAAATGGCCAAGTATATAACCTGATCATCCGTGGTGGAAACGAAGGTGGATTAGATGGCATCGACGTTTGGGGCTTCAACGTTCATATCCATGATGTGGAAGTTACCAACAAAGACGAATGTGTCACTGTCAAGGTATGCTCTGTCACCTTCGCGGTTGATTCTAGAAAGCCTTCGCTGCACAATCCGTCTTATCTAGAACATCACAATTCATATACATGATGCTAACGAAACTCAGAACCCATCCAACCACATGCTTATTGAAAACATCCATTGTAATGTAAGCGGTGGATGTGCTATTGGTAGCTTGGGAGCCGATACTGCCATTTCGAAGATTACTTACAATAACATCTACTCCTGGCAATCCAATCAGATGTTCATGATCAAGAGTAACGGTGGATCAGGTAAGTTTTTTTCGCTCACATCACCATTGCCCTTTCTAATCAATGTCTCCTAGGATCGGTATCCGACAGTGTATTCTCGAATTTCATTGGCCACAGTAATGCATATTCTCTCGACATCGACGCATATTGGAAATCAGCACCAGCAACTGGCAACGGTGTTTTATACTCTGGTCTCACTTTCTCTAACTGGAAAGGAACTTGTGCAGACGGTACCTTGAGAGCACCTATTCAGGTCATTTGTCCAACAGGCCAACCTTGCGCGGGTTTGAGCATTACAAATTTTGCAATGTGGACAGACACGGGTAGTCACGAGTTGTATAAGTGTCAAAATGCTTGGGGTGATGGAGGATGTTTGGTTCATGGCACTGCGCATACAGCTTGTAAGTTGCCAGATTTTTTTATCATTACAATGGCTAACGAACTCTATGATAGACTCGATTGTGACACAAACGGTATCATCAGCGCCTTCTGGCTACTCTGCAGCAAAAATGCCGAATGATTTGGCTGGTGGATATGCTCTGACGGCTAGTATCCCTATCCCCACGATCCCTACTACATTCTTTCCCGGACAAGTTCCAGCAACGAAGAGGGCGTATCCATAGTCGCCAGATGGAGAATGGATATGCATGCGAAAACATAGGAAGTGTAAATAGTTGCAAGAAAGCAAGATAATTCGTAGGTTTTACTTTGCTTCATACATTGAAGTTTTGACTCTCTTGTTGCTCTTCTTCGACAAAAGTGTTATGTCCAAATCATATCTGCAAGTTCCCTCTTCGGGTATAACGACCGTATTGCGCATTTCTTGTGATAAAAACCCAATATCTTCGTCTTGAGATGCAATTCTCGAGATTTTGACCGTAACTCCAATCGCCATTACTCCATTATCCCATGCGATTTTTACATCATTCATGCAATGTTATCAACGTCCATTCCCTCGTTGGCTGCATTTGATGTAGTCTCTGGTGCATCTAGAATCATAATTAGCATCAGAACATCGATATCAATTACAAATTATAAAGTACTAACCAGTCATCTTGACCTCTCCTTCTTTCATTGCCTGCTCCAATGCTCTTTGACGTGCACAATTTTGCGCCTTTTGAACCTTACGAGCCTTCTTTCCAGATAAAGGTGCTAAAGGTCCACTCGTAGGGTGCAGAACAGTACTGGCTCTGGTACCTCTTGGGTTTTTGGTAATCTTGTTGATGGCGTTCTTGCGTTGAGTCTTTGCTCGGTTTGCGATCTTGCGCTTCTTTTGGGGAACATTGGGGTTGCTTTTGGATGCCATTTTGAAGTAATTTTCAAATTTCGAGTTGTGGATTGACTTGCAGATGGAATTCTTTGAATGAGGAAATAATTTTGAATGCACAG